GGGAGCTGGAGGCAAATCTGAAGCTCAAGGCTGAGAGGGGCTTTTACCCAGCCCCTACAACTTGGTATTTTGAACTTGGACTTAAAGCATCCAAATTGTAAGAATAAACTCCTGTTTATTTAAGCCATCCCATTTGTGGGATATTCTTGTCAGAATGGAACTAGGTAATAAGAACACCCATTGACATGTATCAACAAAAGGCATTTACTCCTCTATGCCAAAAAGTTTGGAAGATAGTAGTTACCTGGCCAATTGACTGGAAGAGATCAATTTGTACACATTCCAAAGAAAGATGACCCAATAGAATGTGGAAATTATCAAACAATATTATTAATATCACATCCAAGTAAAGTTTTGTTGAAGATAATTCAAAAATGGTTGCTGGAATATATTGACAGGGAACTTCCAGAAAGGCAAACTGGATTCAGAAGAGGACATGGAACAAGAGATATTGCTGATGTCAGATGGATCTTGGCTGAAAGTAAAGAATACCAGAAAGATGTTTACTTGTATTTTACTGACTAGGCAAAGGCATTAGACTATGTGGATCATAACAAATTATAGATAACAGTAATAAGAATGGGAATTCCAGAACATGTAAGTATGTTCCTGTGTATAGATTAGGGGGCTGTAGTTCAAACAGAACAGGGGATACTGAATAGGTTAAAATCAGAAGGGTGTGGATCAGGGTTGTATCCTTTAACCATACTTATTCAGTCTGTATGCTGAGCAAATAATTCTAGAAGCTGGACTACAAGAAGAAGAACATGGCACCAGGATTGGAGGAAGACTCATTAACAACCTGCAATATGCTTATGACACAACCTTGCTTCTGAGGGTGAAGATTACTTGAAGCACTTATTAATGAAGATTAAAGTCTACAATCTGTAGTATGGATTACACCTCAACATAAAACAAAAATCCTCACAACTGGACCACTAAGCAGCATCATGATATATGGAGAAAAGTTTGAAGCTGTCAAAGATTTCATATTACTTGGATCTACAATCAACACCCTTGGAAGCAGCAGTCAAGAAATCAGACAGCGTATTGCACTGGGCAAATCTGCTGCAGAAGATCTCTCTAAAATGCTGAACAGCAAAGAAGTCTCTTTGAAGACTAAGTTGCACCTTACCCAAGCCATGGTATTATCAATAGCTTCATATGCATGTGAAAGCTGGACACTGAATAAGGAAGACTTGAAGAAGAGTTGATGCCTTTGAATTACAGTGTTAGAAAAGAATATTGAAAGTTTCATGAACTGCCAGAAGAACAAACAAATCTGTCCTGGAAGAAGTACAGCTGGAATACTCTTTGGAAGTGAAAATGGCCAGACTTCATGTCACTTACTCTGGTCAAGTTGTCAGAAGGGACAATTCCCTGGAAAGGGATATCACGTTCGGTATAGTTGATACAAATGCAATGCAACACACTACCATTGACAGGGATCCAACTCATAGTGACCCCTCCTTGGATTTCCAAGGCAGTATCACTACGGAAGTAGATTGCCTAATCTTCCTTCTGAGAAGTAGCTGGTGGGTTTGAACCACCAGCTTCTGGTTAGTAGTCAAATGCCTTAGGCACTAGGCCACCAGAGCTCCTGGTACAGTTGGTCAATGAAAAAGGGAAGATTCTCAATGACATGAATTGACATAGTGGTTGAAACCATTGGCTCAGGTACAGCAAAGATTGTGAGGATGGGGCATGACCAGCAGTGTTTTGTTCTGTTGTACAAAGATTGCTATGAGTTAGAGCTTCCTCGATGGCATCTAACAACAATAACATTACTTTTTATAGATCTTTTTTTACTTTAACTGTTTTGGGAATTAAAAATAAACTATAGAAATGTAAGTTTAATACATAGGTCCATAAAATGAGGGACATTGAGACCAGAAGAACTGTGGTGCCTGACTACCAATGCCAACCACTCAGGAAGGGATCAAAACTGGAGATTCTGAATAGAGTGGAAGAAAAAACATGGAACAAAATCCAAAAACACAATACTGACCAAAATTACTGTTTGGATGGAGTCTGGTAGGACCCCTGAGACTATGGCCCTAGGATACATATAGGGCCTGGGATAAAACTCACTCCCAAGGGAAGGCTCTTGGCCCAACAGTAAATAAGACTTAAATGAAGAACACTCAACCCAGAGTGTGCACCCACCTACTCTTTGGAGATACATCCCTTGGAGCAATTGGCCATGGAGCACCAGAGGGGCAAAAGTCACATGGATGACAAGCTGGACAGACAGGAGTGTATAACTAAGAAGGGCATAGGGACTTCCAGTAAGATGGAGGAATAGTCAGACAAGCGACACAGACCCTCTTCAACAAAGAAAAGAAAAATCAATTGACAGAGATATAGAACATAATCCTGGAGCCCTGAGCTTTGAAAGGAACTATACAGAAGAGGATTAGGCACCAACTAGTGGAAAAACCTGAATGAAAACAGTGAGTACAGAGATGATAAGAGCTGCAGACTGTCAGCTACTCTGACAGGACCAATAGCCTGAATATTTCCAAGTGGTGTTGGGACTTGAGACTTTACCTAAAGATTAGCCCTGGTCACCATGGGTTGCAGGGATGACTGTGCTGGTGGCCTATGACTAGGAAGGGAAACAGCAAGGAGGGACACAACTTGAGCTTTTGACTTTCCGCTGTCTGGAGGGCGCAGCCATTTTGATTGTTTACATGTGGCAGCCATTTTGGACATTTAAAGTGACTGAGGGTGCAGGCATTTTGAATGTTTACAAGTGGCGCCATTTTGTATATTTAAAGTAACTGAGGGTGCAACCATTTTGGATTTTAATGTGAGAGCATTCTCATTTAGATTCCAGGAACCTAAGAATAGGCTCTGTTTGCCAAGGTTGGCAGGGACATACAGAGAGGCTGACAACAGGAAAGGAGACTGGTGGTCAGTGTATAAGTGCTGTCAATTAGCGAATAGAGGAGCACAGCACAGTACCCTGCTTGCATAAATAACATACAAACAAAACAAAGAAAATGAAAATTGTAGGTAAGTCACTCCAACATACAATCACCAACTAAATATAAATACAAAAACATCACAATGCCTCAGACACAACAGGGCATCACAGTCCCCGAAAAGAAGTGAGATAGAGCAGGAGAAACAAGGGACCAGGATACAGACCCAAAACACATCCCTGAGGAAGATGCAGCATTGGAACTCCCTGATAGGGAATTCAAAAGAATTAGATTTAGGTATCTTCGATGAAGTAAGAGACAGATCAAGGAAAACACTGACAAAATCGAGGAAAACACAGAGAAAACCCTAGAACAATTTCAAAAGACAATACAAGAACAAAATGACAAAATAAATGAAAAATTGGAAATGATACAAAATCTACACACAGAAATTCAGAAGATTAATACTAAAGTTTCAGAAACAGATAAGACATTGAATGGGCAAAGGAGCAGAAGTAAATCAAT